TCATCTTGTAGTATGACTGAAGAAGAAAGGACAGACGGACGTCATCATGGTGAAGGCCGAGGCCATGACCATGAATAGAGCCATTTGTCATTGTCAAGTTTTGTAAGTTTGTCTTGGTTGTTTTCAGAATTGCTAGCTGTGTTGGTAGGATGGATGCATTGGAGTAGGTAGGTAGTAGATCTTAGAAATCATCCCATCCTGATATATTGATGTGATAGGAGGAGCCAAAGCGCCCAAGTTGTGTTGTATTTCTTATGTGTGATATATCAGTTATAATACCATTGTTGATTTGGATTCATCCCAACGCGTTATGCTGCCGAAATTTCTAGCCAAAGTTCACCGACTTGTCAAAATTTTGGCCTTGTTTGTAACAAAACCGTAACTTTAGGTCCTTGCCTGCAAAATGCTAGGGTGTCAATTGGGCTTGTTTGTAACAAATCCCTAACTTTAGGGCCTTTTATAAATTTCTTTAGTATTATTTAATAGAATATTTATATATTGTTTATTAAATTTTTGGAACATTTATTAGAATCCAAAGCATCTACTACAACAAGTTTTGTCCGGCTCTGACGATGGAGGGGCGATAACACATCGCGCCTTTGGCTCGCTTCCATGCTGGTAGTCATCACTATGTGGTTTTCTTATATCAGCCACACGATTCCATCTTCCCCAACTGCTTCTACTAAAAAAACATGGCGCCTGTTCATCCCGAGCAGCCCCGTGATCCCCAATACGTCAGCCAGCTCGTCGGCCATCCACGTCGCCGCCAGCCGCTGCCCTCGTCGGCGTCGTCTGACTCCCATCGGTTCCACAGGAAGCCGCCCTCGTCGCTGGTGATCGCCATCGCATCCCCGTCCCTGCCAGTTTGTCGCCTCCACTCGTAGCAAGACGACACCATCGTAGCAAAATGCCCGACGTATATGTCATTGCAGCATCTAGCCACCGCCGTCGTATCACGCCCATCGCCGCACCACCGTGCCTCTGGCCGCAGCACTCAGTATGTCTGCTCGCACCCAGTTGAAGCCTTTTCTCATGCTGGTTGAAGCTTTTTCTCATGCCGGTTGAAGCTTTTTTCCACTCGTTGACGCTCGCCGTCTAAAACCCTCTCGAGAAGACTGCCATCTTCTTCCAACCACCCGACCGTTGGCACTCCGGCCGATACGCCATCATCTCCGATGAGGCCGATGCCTCGTTCCAGGTCATCGGCATAGATCTCTGGGTCAAGGAAACCTTTGCCGTCTTCTCCTCCCGCACCGTCAAATTTTGTCAAGCGAGTGAATCATAGGGCCCACGCTATAGGCGAGATTAAGGGCCAATTCGTTTGGTGCCTTTTGTGGGTTAATAGAATAACCTGCCATCTTCTTAATCTAATGACTCGGAAAATCTACTTAGGTATGTATAGCGGGTGCCTTAATTAATCATTATTTTGCTGGATTTTAAGCGGCCTAGTACTCCATCCATTTCTTTTTAGTTGGTATATAAAATTTGTGCGAAGGCAAACTTTGCAAAATTTCACCAGCTTTATAGGGAAAAAAAATCAACATTCATAATACAAAACCAATACCATTAGATGCATATAATGAAATTAATTTTCATACTATTTTTAATATTGTAGTTGTTAGATATTTTTTAAGATAAGTTTGGTCAAACTTTTTGTAGTTTGACTACAAATAAATTTTATACGTGGAGTAAAAAGAAACGGAGATAGTATATGAGATGGTTGCACACAAGCTCAGAGCAGGAGGATCAAAAGCATCGGGGTATTAGAGCGTCTCTAGCAGATTCGGTTATATCCCGTCCTGCAAAAAACGGTTTATAGGACACCACAAAATGGTTTTGACCGTTTTACGATATGACATGTGTTCTAGCAGAATAGATCCCGTAAAAAAATTCATGTCAGATGTGGAGCCCACTTGTAAGTAGTTACATCTACAATATGGTTCTTAAAAAGTAGCACAAAACACCCGCAAAATGAAATTTAGATTACAACTAGCAAGATGCCCGTGTATTGCACACAACACCAAGATGCATTTTTTACAACACCTATTGTGATTGACCCATGCGGAAGTAATCCCATGTGTAAAACTAATGATATCTCGAGAAAGAGGAGATATAAGGTGAGGAGGAGTGGGGCGTGGTGGTGACTGGTGGTTGGGCTGGGCAGAGGCATGGGGATGGACGGCGCCTACAGTGGCCATCATGTCAGATTGTTTCAGACGCTTCCTTTTTTAATTGTTCAACAATGAGGTTGTGGGAGATAAGGATGAATGAGGGAATGCCTTATCTGCAAATGTGGAGAAAGGTGCGGGTATCTTTTTGCAAATTTGATATAGTTTATTTTCTATCCGTCAGATATAGATCAGATGGTCTATATTGTAACATGACAGGCTTATCATCATAACCAACTCGGTTTTTTTATAAGAGTAGAAATTGGGTCCTGGAGCGGCCATGGAACGGAGCTCGCCATCTGCTGCGTGGCGGAGCCGGAGCCCGCCGAAGCATGTCGCCCTCCCCACGCCGTCGGCTGGACCTGCAGCTCCGTGTCCTGCAACATCGGCCGCCTCGACTAGCCGCTGCTCGTGGCCTGCCGCGCCGGCCGCCTCGACTAGCTCCTGCCCATCAGCTGCTCGTGAAAAATCCCGTCCTGCTACTGCTGGTGGCTTCTCCAGCTACATCCTACACGTGCCCAACTACCAACCACACGTCAACGGTCAGCCTCAACCCGCCCACGCTCATCTCGCTCCAGATGCGCGAGGTGGAGCAACCGGCGGACGCACCGCCGGGTGCGCCGTCCGCTCCTCCTTGTTGAACGACTTCACCGACATACATGAGGCCCCGCGACGAGGCGTTGCGGATTTCCCTGGCCACGGCGAGGCGCGACAATGGCAGGAGGCGGACGAGGGCCGGGGCTGATTCGGCCGGCGCGACCTTGGGATGGATGGCAGGTGGCGGTCAGTCCATAGTTTCGTCCGGCGGTCGGAGTTGGCGCGCCGGTGAAGGGGCATCGTGGCCGGGGGCGGCGGAGGCGCGGGGACAGGAGGCGGTGAAAGTTCCCTCCCGCCAACCGGTATTTGCGGCATCCCATAGAATTGGCCCTCGCGCTGAAGATATAGCGTAATGGAGGCTCGATTTACCGGTCCCCTCAAAAATTTACAGGTCGGCCTCATTTACAGGATCTGTTCTAGACAATTTTTTTAGCAAAATACATAATCGACGATTATTATGGCAGAAGGCCCGATTTACGGGATCTGCTAGATAGAAATACTCTTACCCACAAAAGAAAAAAACATGGTGGTATAATTTTTGGCGCGAAAAAGTGGTGCCGGTATTCTTTTCGCACTAACGCGAAACAATTTTGGCACGAGCCTTGCTATGATATGGGCTCCAAAAGCCGTAAGAAATCCCCTTCTAACAACAGAGAGCGGAGCGGGACCATCGATCCCCAATATAGGAGGCGAGGGAGGAAGAGATGGAGTAGCCATGGGAGAGAAGCGGGGGAGCCAGCGTCAAGAAGCCCAGGACCGCGCCGGCGCCTCCCGGGGCATACACCGGCGCCGAGCTCCTCCGGGAAATACTTCGTCGCCTCCCCGACATGGTGTCACTCGCCAGCACCGCCCTCGTCTGCAAGCGCTGTGGCCGCATCGCTTCCGACCTCGCCGTCTTCGACCACTTCAGCTCCCTCCGCAGGCCCTCGCTCGCCGGCATCATCCTCACCGACCTTGGCCGCGAGCACGTCCCCCTCCACAACCCTGCTCTCCGCTTCGTCACGCCGCACTCGCGTCACCCCGAGCTGGACGTCGCCGCAACATTCGGCGATTTCTACTTCCAACGCCACCCTGAGATTAAATCTGCCGACGAGTGGTGCCTCCGTGGCTACGACGGCAGCCTCCTCCTCTCCTGCGGCAGCTATGCGGCGAAGCTCGCCGTCTAAAACCCTCTCGAGCAGACTGCCATCTTCTTCCAGCCACCCGAGTGCTGGCACTCCGGCCGACACGCCATCGTCGCCCATGAGGCCGACGCCTCGTTCCAGGTCATCGTCATAGATCTCTGGGTCAAAGAAACCTTTGTCGTCTTCTCCTCCCGCACCGGCAAATTTTGTCAAGCGAGTGAATCATAGGACCCACGCTATAGGCGAGATAAAGCGCCAATTCTTTTGGTGCCTTTTGTGGGTTAAGAGAATAACCTCCCTCTACTTAACTTATTCTAAAAGGCCAACCAAAAATACGTTTTTATAAGCCTACAAGTTAGTAGGCTTCTAAAAAAATAAATTTGGTTGGGCTTCTAAAAAACCTACCTCGTATTTTTCCTAGGTAGATTTTCTAATAATTCCAAAAATGTCACGAAGTTCAAATAAATGTTCGTGATTTCAATAAAAGCTCTTGGATTAAAAAATCACAAATTTAAAAATTTTGTCAGCTAAAAAAATTCACAAAATTTGAAAAGAAAGTCTATGGTTTCCAAACATGTTAAAATTTTTACAAATTGAAAAATATTCACACCTTTGAAAAACTTTCACGAATTTGAAAAACATTCACAAATTCAGAAAATGTTCATGAATTTGGAAAACATTCACAAATTCAATTTTTTTGAATTTATTTTTTCCCACGAATTTAGAAGAAGGTCGTGAATTTATAGAAAGTTCAAAATTTCAAATAATATTCACGTTGAAAAAAATCAAGAATTTGAAAAAAATCAGGAATTTAAAAAATGTCGTGAATTTAAAAAAATAACATGAATTAAAAAATGAATAGAAAAACTAAAACAACACGAAACTGAAAAAAAAGGGAAGAAAATTAGCGTGATTGTAGTAACTATAGTAACCGACCGAACATAAAAATAATCAGTAAACTACGCGCTGGACAGGAGGAGTCCAATGCGTCAGACTCGGCGCCGGTAAACGTGTTTGATTTTGGCGCGAGATCCTGATCGAAGCTAAAAGTCGCAAGGAACCTATCAGAGAGCCAGCGATCCAATCTATCGATGACAAAGAGATGAAAAAGATGGAGCCATGGGAGAGAAGCCAGAGCGCCAGCGTCAAGAAGCCAATGGCGCCGCCGGCGCCGCCCACGGACGCTCTCGGCGACGATCTCCTCGGAGAAATACTCCGCCGCCTCCCCGACATGGCGTCACTCGCCAGCGCCGCCCTCGTTTGCAAGGGCTGGGGCGGCGTGGCCTCCGACCCGGTCATCTTCCGCCGTTTCCTCTCCCTCCGCGCGCCCCTTCTCGTCGGCGTCATCCTCACCAAGCGCGACCGCGAGTGCGCCGCCCACCGCAACGATCTCCGCTTCGTGAGGGCCTCCTCGACACGTAACCCCAAGCTGGCCTCCGCCGCAGCGCATGGCGATTTCTACTTCGAAGGCCACCCCGAGATTGAAGCTACCGACAGGTGGAGCCTCCGTGGCTGCAACGGCGGCCTCCTCCTCCTCTGCCGCGGCCGCTATGCGTCGAACCTCGCCGTCTACGACCCTCTCGAGCGGACCGCCATCTTCTTCGAGCCACCCGCGGGCTGGCACATGGTCCGCTACGCCATCGTCGCGGACGAGGCCGGCCCTTCGTTCCAGGTCATCGCCATATGTCCCTGGCACAGCCATCGCTTCGCCGTCTTCTCCTCCGGCGCCGGCAAATGGGTCGTGGTTAACTCGTTCCGCGACAGTTGGATCTGCGCGGATGACGGTATGGCCGCTGGGCGGTTCGCTTACTGGCGGTCCAACACCAAAAAGAACACCATGAATGAGAATGAAGAGAAGATATATGTGCTTGACACGAAAACCATGGTGTGGTCGGTTATAACCGCGCCGTTCCCGGCTGGCGAATCGTACTGCGTGGCGGACATGGCGGAGCACGGCGGGTTGTGCATCGTGTCCAGCAGGGAGCAATGCGTGCTGCTCTGGGTCCGTGATGTCAATGGTGACTGGGTGGTCAAGAAGGAGGTCTCCTTGCTGAATCAGTTCGGGTGCTTGAAGAGGATTCGTCGTGACGAGTGGATGAAGAGGCTGCGCATCCTCGCAATGAAGGCTGGTTATGTCTACATGGAGTTCTGGTCCATAAGGAAGTCTGAATCCCATGTTCTTGTGCTCAATCTGAACACCGTCAAACTGCAGCAAATCTTTCGCAATAATGCGGTTGAGCGCTACAGAGGTGCTGCTTTTCCATTCTTTCTGCGGTTGTCACCACTGCCTGCCGCAGATGATGATAATTAAGTTCAAGATGCTTGATAGCATGGATCGGAGTAGGTAATCTACTATTTGATCCGTTTGTTAGATTTATCTCTCTAGGTATTATTACCTGTGCAAATTGCTCACCTAGCCACTCGGATCTGTTAGATTTGTTGTCCATGTTCCTAAAATCCATAGGGTCTGATGGATTTGTAATTTGTTAGTATTATAAATAGTTGTATAATGCATGTTTTGTCCAGTTTCATTTTCTTCAACCACTTTCCCAGATTATTTTTCCAGAACTCACAATCTTGTAACCTTTGTTGCTTTGACTGTGACTTGATTCCTTAAATGAATATGCCCCTGCTTTTCACTGTAAAAAATGTCCCATGTTTTCCAGATTATTTTTCTAGAACTCATGATCATGTGTAAAAGTAGTTGTTTTGTTATTAGACATACTAGCACAAGTGTGCTAAGAAAAAACTGATTACATATTGAAATGATCCACGTTACAAATAACTTATTTTTCTTGCTTGTTTACTATTTCTTGTCAGTTGAGACTTCACTTTACAGTCTGTTGACTGTAGTTAGAAGCTGAATTCTCTGTAGATAAAATGGTAAATGCATTGCACTATAGTTGGTTTTCAAGAATGCATCGAGGCCATGACTTGTATGCTTGACTTCAGTATATTTTCACCCATGAGGCCATGACTTGTATGCTTAACTTCAGTATGTTTCTTATACTTTTCAGTTATCTCTCCATCGTTGTTCGTTAACTGAACAATTTTGCAGAATGCTCTGAGTATTCTAATACCTTGGAATGCATGAGTCATGATCGAATCATCAAGCATGCTTGCCCATTTCAGTGTAGTAGTAATGGTGACTTCATGGGGACCAAAGTTTGTGGTGGCATCAATTTCATAGTCTATATATGTAGCAATGCATAGTAGTTTATAAATGAATCACCATGTGTGCTCCGGAAAGAAACTAATCTAGTGGTTTGAATTTCAGGTCAGGTGCTACCTGTAACTTTGATCAGAAGTTACTTAATATGGACAATTGAAGTTGAGTTGCAGCAGCTGGTTAGTACATGGTCTCTGTTTGGCAATACGAGTTTCAACATTTGAATGGAGATGTATCTGGCCTATTTTGTGGAAATAGCTTCATTGAATCTGAATTTAGTCATTTTAGACCTGTTTGATGTCAACTCAATGATACTTTAACTGAGATGGTTTAGTTTAATGTCAGTCATGTGCTCGTGTTTCATCTTAATTATTAGATCTTCACATGACATCGTAATTCAGCTGGGAACTATATTTTTAATACCCAGTCTACTATTTTTACAGAAATGTTGCGCCACATTGGTATGTCCATATGTTGTGGTCATCCCAGGCACGGAGGCTGAGGATTGTCCTTGTAGGTGGTGTTGTGCATCTTGATCGAATTGTTAATCTCTTGCCTAGAAATTTGTGCCGTGAAATACAATGTGTGAATGGCTTGTTTTGTTACATTGCAGATAGTTTTTTTTTGCCCTGAAAGTGTGTATATATGCAGGGCTTTGTTCATTTGTTCCATGAGAATTCAGTAACTTGTTGTTTTTCTAGAGAGCAAGGGCGTGCCTCGTGGTTTCATTCCATTAAATGAAACCGCATCATCACAGTGAATCCGTGGATGCAGGCATAGGCGCAAGGATCAGAAAGCAGTCTAGTTCTTAAACATGCTCCATTCGTGTTTTCCTTTTTGTGGTTCCGGCAGCTTCTTCTCATTTTTTTTACCACCTGATCCACTTGAGACCCCTCCTCTTTGAGGAGGACGATCTAAAGCAGGAGTCAATCATCATCATCTTCATCAAATACTCCAAAGATGTATTTGACTCCATCACCTAAATTGGCAAGCAAAGGATCAAATATACTGATGTTCTAAGATAGGAGGCCTATAAAGTAAGTTCAGAACATGTATATTGGATCCAAACAAGGTAAGAACACAAACTACGGGTTTGTTTCAGACTTTACTCAGTCTACTTCATTGTTGAATACCATAGAACATAGAGCCGTATGAATTCAAGGTTTGTTTCAGACTTTACTACACCCTCGAATACACAAATGAGGTGACCTTGTGGGTGTCGCCGCTGGAGCTAAGCTTCAGGTCAGGCGTGGAGACGGGGCCAGGGTTGACCTGCAGTGCGGTGCAGGGAGAGCTCGGCCGGGCGGTGCAGGTCGAGATCAGGAGGGGCAGGGGAGGCGGAGGTCAGGGGTGGCACGGCTCAAGCGGAGCTACGGGACGGCGGCGCGGCGGGCCTCATG